AGGCTTTGTTTTCGAAAAAAAAAAAGAATGTACAGTTCTTCGAATGATTTGTTTTTGGTTATCGTCCAATTTCAACAATTTTCGACCACGGATATGCGTTTTAGGGGCTTCTAATAAGGGGCCTTTGTTTTGTCTTTTCGCGTACAATACGTTTAATTGTTGAAACAGATACTCTAGTTAAAAAAGAACTGTGGTTTACAGCTTCATTTGTAGGAAGTTTCTGTTTCAGCCCATCATACACTATTCATATAATGTTCTTTCCATCCTTTGATAAGGGCTTTCGCCGACGTAATTGGGTTTCACTTGGACCCGCCTCTAAATCCATTACTATTGTAACAATATAATTCTACTATTAAATTGTTTTTATTAAATTTATAAAGACACCAATATTTTACTATTTAATAAACTTTTAAAGTACCTACCTAATATACTACACAATAAATTTTACTCCTCGAATATGCACTAAGACTACCAAATTGTATGGCACAAACACCTACTCGTATATCAAAAAAGAGCACTTAAAAAAGTGTTTATAAAATATAAAATAATTATCGTAAATAGTTAAAGCGATACAAATCTAACTTCGTCGAAAGTTAGTTTTCAACTGTCTTTGTGCCTGTGCTGACAATATTCAATCTGTAACCCGTCTGTCGTTTATTTACTTGAAACACATTTTAAAACCATTAAACACAGATAACGAAGTCATTAGGGAATAAATGTATTTATTTCTTAAAAACGTATAGCATTATCTTTGTTTAAATAAAGATGTTGACAAACAAATTTAATAAAGTTTACTAACAAATACCTAATAAATAATAAATAATTATTTGGTATTTGATACGCGCCTATGCTAACTCTGTCGGAATTTCAATCATAGACAACAGTGTTGATCAAGCATATGACTCATCTTCTCCAATATTTTGTCCGAGTATAGCAGTTGATTTTGTCTGTTCTTGGATAGACCCTCTATGAATATTTTGTAGGGGGGATTGGGGTGGTCATTTTCAGAGTGCCAATAATTGTTAAGGACATGACATGACTTATTCTCTATAGGAATGCAATCTAAAACAAAAGAAAATATTATAAACGTGAAAATCAACTAAACTTAAAATACATTTTTAAATTAAAATCTCCACAATGTATAAAAAAATATTTATTAAAATATTTCTTGGATTCTTAGATCACACAGACTATTCAGACTATTTCTAACACATGTACTATGGGAGTATTTATCTATTTTCGTCTACTTCACATATCTCACGCCAATTGAGTGGTTTGTATATTTTTTAGAAAATGTTGTTGTTTTGCTGGCCAAAATATTCAATTCAGAAAAATATTGAGTCAAACTATTATTGGAAAAGTTAAATAGTTCTCAGAAATCTGAGTAATCTCTTTGATATTAAAAAAAAAAAAATTTATCTACCAGGTAAATTTTCCAATTAATTTATTTTCATTAAAACATATTTACGTAAATTTTTATATAAATTAAATAGTAGGTGATTTTGGTTTATCTTCATGATTATAAAAAAACAATATGAGGAAAGCTTGTTGAACATTATCTATGAGTGACGCATTTTTCGTAATCTAGATCAGCGGACCAAGATTTACTCTAAGGACTGGTAAAATATTTTTGTACGTTCTAGCGGACTTGAAAAATTGCATCGAGAATAAAACTACTAGAACTCCAAGAACATTATAATACGAATATTATAACATATTAGCAAAATCAACAACGTATCAAAAAGATACAAAATAAGCAAAAAATAATTTATCAAATCCAAGAAAATAGAAAATAAAATCAGTGAGATCGTTGCTGGTCTCTGTTGCTGACTAAAGTGTCAATCTTAGGCGTTAAACCAGTTACAGCAAAAGGTAAAGTAGGCGCGAGCAAGTCGTTTTCGATATTTCGTCATAACAGTCGTAACAGTCATAAACGAAAATGTAGTTTAAAGTTAGAGACACGACTCGAGAAATATTTTCCATGAGCCATATAAAGTTATAACAGAATAAATTGAAGATCCAGAAGTAGCAGTAACAATTCATATCTACACCGACAGTTCTAAAACAAAACAAGGCACAGATCCTTAAACCCAAACATTAAATGGGATGTGAGCAATAGTGCTAGTGTAATTCAAACTGAGCTCACGGAAATTCTTAAAGCAGCAAAAAAAGTTACAATATCATTGGGAAGAACATGCTCATCTATACAGATAGCAGACAACAGTAGTCATCCTGTACAGACAACAAATTTACTCAGGGTTAGTGCTAGAATGTCACGAAGCTTTGCCCGAAGTATCTATAAAAAATGTGATCACCTTAGGATGGTCGCGCCACATCGAAACGAAATAATTTTTAAACCTGTCCCATCCATTGGATTGACAACATTGGTAGTGACAAACCTAATTAAAGAACATTTTGTCTTGTAAAAATACAAGAAAAGATGGGATAAAATAAGCAGCTGCAAAGTTGCCAGGTGGATTTTAATTTATCCTGACAACCCTACATCAAACAAATACTTGATTATGAGTAGACAGGAAAAAGCAATACAATCTTCAACGCCTTTAAATAAAGATTGGGATATTCTGTTGTGTCATTATACATTACAATGTTTGACTGACATTACTAGTCAACTTGACCATTCACTTAATGCAGCCTTCTCTCTAAAGTAGGGAGGATGGGTTGCCCTTCGGCACTTAGGCTTCACTAAATACATTGTGCATCCTTATGACCCTATGAGGCTACTCTTAGCTCGTCTGCTTGCCCACAGATTTAATGTAGTTGACTACGACACTCTTATGCTGGCCGAGTGTTAACCAATACTCGCCGAATACAAATCTCCTGCGTCAGGCAATTGTAGAGGATGTACTCGATATTCTCATCTCCTTCGCACCCTTTGCACAGTGATGAGTCCGGTAGCCCCATGCTATGAATGTGTTTCCATAATTAAATCGGTCATTTTGAAACGAGGTCAACTATAGTTTTTCAAATTTTACCAGCCAATGAAAAAAACGATTTTTACTATTTCATTCTTTTAAATAATATTAACCGTAATTTTTATCTATAAAGAGCGATATTCCTAATTTGGAAATGTCAACGTAATCATTTTTGGCTCAACAGTTCTACATTTTTTCTTTGTAGAAATTACCCGTTTTCAAATTGAACGTAAAATCCACTTTTTTTATCAAAGAAAGAAAAATTGTAACGCATAAAAGGTACATTAATTTGGTAGCATTGTGAAAAAATAATATCATTATGGAAGCTAAAGGTCTTCAGCAGCCTCGCCCGTCCTAATTGTAGGCCATTCATGATTTCAGTACGATATGTCTATAAGGTGACCTATTTTCCAAATAAATACTCTAATATGATGTCTATTTACCCCAGTGGCGGCTCGTGGTTAAAGACATTGGGCGTTCTGCAATATTCTGCCTCCCCCCCAAAATTACAGCTTTTATTCACCTACTTTTTATACATTAATTCTATTCTGCGGTCCTTTTTAGCAGCAAACTTATACACAAACTAATAATCTACAAAACCAAATTCGAATCGCATCACATATGCGACAGACTGTTTGTTTACAGTCTGTCGCATATGTGATGCTTTGTTTAGCTTGCCGATATGGCAAAAATGATACGGAAATACTACACGTTTTGGCGTTATTTTTTAGAGAGACCGTTCTAAAGCGACCCAGCTAAAAGACGAATATGAACTGGCGAGAATTTGTTAAGTCTTCCACTGATCCGCTCTGGACTTATTCTCATGTATGAACTGAGAGTAGGATACGTTCGCGCGCTATAGATATTATTTAATTATTAAAATATAATTAAAATTAATGAGATTACCCATAAAATTTATTTTATGTATATTTTGGAATCTCTAAAATAATTTCTGTTAAATGTAAAACTTACAGTTTTTTGGCAGTTCTGCAGCTCAGAACCACTTATGCGCAAGCTGATCTATCCTCTTTAATGGATTATTTTTGACCCGTTTTCATAAGAAATATATGAATGATAGTTTAAAGAACATAAATTAGCCAAACATTAATTTGGTAATGTCGTCAGAGTGCCTGTGAACAGCCGCGCATTCTTTTTAGTCAAAGTTTATTTGTTTGCTTTAATGTTGTCATTGTAACTTAAGAGATCCTAAGCAACTCTGCATCATCTATGAATTTCACAACCGAACTTTCTGTAATTAGGTTTGTTGTTAGTCCAATGTATGGAGGGTAGAAAAAAGGAGGACAATCTTATATGGATCTTTATATTAAAAAGTGGCCACCAAAATGTATACAATTAAGATGGCGCTCGTGTAGCCAGGGGACAAAATCTAATGCTATATAGTCATATAGATTGCTCATTCATAAGAATTATTTATTGTTTATATTATTATTTTTCAATAAAATTTGACTATTGTCGTGTATTGTCAAAATTTATCTACGATCACAGAACACTTACTCTTCTACGACCAGTCACTTTTCACGGTGTAGTTTTTAGTTTTTTATGGTTGAGCAATATTTATTACTATATACATCATTGGTGTCATTGTGTGATCTGAATTATCGACTGTCGACGTCCCCTGGGCACAGAAGCGCCATCTTAATTGTATACATTTTGAGAGACACTTTTTGTATACAGAGATTGTTCTCCTTTCCTCTACCCTCCATAGTCCAATGGAAGGGACAGGCCCAAAAAGTATTTGTTTGGCTGCCTTCTTGCCTAGTGAATCGACAAGACGCTTACCTTTCGTTGTGGGGTGGAATTTGATCCATTTTATGGTTGCCACATTGTTGATGGATACTTCGAACAAGGCTTATTAGCATTCTAGTACTAACCCTACTACTAACTCTTTCTTCTGTAACGAGTAAATAAATAAACAACCTTATGGTCCGAGTCACAATTTATGGCTAAGCGAGCTTACCGAACAAAGACGAATCTATTTTTATTTAATGAAAACTTATCAAACTTTTTTTTTTAATCAGTATCTTACCTATTTTTTTTTTGTTACAGATTGTCCGGTCTTTCGCCATTCATGGGACATACTGATGTAGAAACAATGGCGAACGTAACTGTTGCAAAATACGACTTTGACGATGAAGCGTTTGACGAGATTTCCGATAATGCAAAAGACTTCATCAAAAAATTACTGGTCAAAGATATGAGGTAAGATTTTTTATCATTTACAAATAATATTTAAATTAATATTCACATGGTCAAGAAGCAAACAAAATTTGATTTTCCAAAAAATCTTTAAATATGACTCCCACGATGTGTTTATTAACTTGATATAACGTTCTAACTTTAAAATTGGTACATAATAGCGGCGGTCATCAAATCCATCGCCTGTTCTATGACAATGACCGTCATTGTTTTTAGATCATGCAATTAAAACTGAATAATAAACTATTATATTTGTTTAGCGAATTTGGCAAAAATAAATCTTTAATGTATGTGTTTTGGCAACATTGTAGTGTTGTATAAATACACTACTTTTTGATTAAATTTGGTTCATGTAATATGCAGTCGAGCTCAAAGATATGTAAACAGACACTTTAAAAAGGTAGCATTTGGGAAGGCGCGACCGAGACCGACCTCATGCGACGGGCAGCAAGCAGCAAATCCGAAAACGATCTCTCCACGTCTGAACACATGTAATTATTTGAAACACATTTGGGAAGGCGCGCCAGATGACTGTAGTTTTAGCACGGTAGGATTTGTCGCTTAATGGTAAATTACGCCTGCAATCCACCTTGCTTCGGAGAGCAAATGAGTAATCATATCATATAGGAAACGATAGTCGCTATTTGAAAATTTTTATACTGGAACAGAAGTAGCATCCTTTACACGACTCTACTTAAGCCGAATTCATTTCTAAATATCAGTCATGTGATCTTAGTTTCTACAACTTGATTGTTTATGATACCTATTCTCGAGTAGTGAACCCAAACCTATTCTATTCAAATTAATTGGTTTAATATGACGTATTTTCAAATATTTAATGTAAAGAGACTTATATAATACAATAATAATTAATGTGAAAAACAAATTTTATCATAATTTTTTTTTTTTTTATTAAAAGACCGATATTTTGAAAATCGGTGACATATTAGTAGAATCGCGTGGAATAGTAATTTTATTTGAGTGAGTTAGTATTAAATAGGTACACTCATTTACCACTGATAGACCGTCAGATAGTAACAGATTTAGGTGCCCCATTTTCGTATACAAGCCTCTAAGAGGGTTGAAAAGTACATCATATGGAAAATTCGATTTTCCTTAACGTCCATATTTTCACGCAAGTCGTGTTCACTAAACGATTAATTAATAGAACTTAAACTCGGAAAACCAAAGGCTTGCATGTTGGAAGTGGCTAAAGGGTTAAAATAAGGCGTAATCTTGTAAGGAAAAATCGAGATATAAACCGATTTTTCCACACAAGCCCATCGAAAGTATGAAAACCTACATCATCACTGTATGTTATCCCCAGGGGCCCACTAGTAAATATTCTTTCATTCAACTCAACATCCATGTTCTTTTCAATTATATGGACTACATAAGTGGCGAGTGCCGATGTGTTAAGAATTTAGGATTAGTTATTTTGATGCCTGTATTGTTATTAACTATTATAAAATATACACACTGGATACACTAGGAAGAAGCGAAAACACAAAATGACACAGTTAATACATTGAAAATCTCTCAATAGATGTTATTAAACCGCGAGTAAATTGAAGTTCATATCATTTAGACCAGAGGTTCCCAAACTTTTTGGTCCGCATGCCGAATGTCCTAATTATTTAACAAAAGAGTGGGTTGGCGGGCCGCACATTGTAAAAAAGTAGTAGCTAGTTATATATGTATTTTTATGAAGTAGGTTTAACCTACAGTCTGTTCGCTATACTTACGCGGGTTTCGAAATAAAAATTTTATGAGTATTTCCAGGTAAGTACCCGAAAGTTTGACCAGTTATTTGGGGAAATATCAACTGGTTAAATGAAATGAAAAATAATTTACAACTTTTTAATTAAATAATAATGGAGAATCTTTTGTATAATTGAGAGCAGAATTAAACTTCTTCATTAATGGAGTCTAATGTGGCTATTATAAACCTAATAATAATTTTATATTACACTTCACACAGAAAATATGGTCAGTGTATAATAAGAGGGTTATTTAGCTTAAATAAAATATTTTCTAACATAAAAATTTGTTCCATGTAGAGAATTTCAAATGAAAAATAATAATTGAACTTGCCAACAAAAATGAAAATCGGTCATTATCATCCAAAATATCATAATCGTCATCATCATTACTGTCATCACCATTAATTGTTATTATGAATTGACTTATTTCGTTTATTTTATTTTCATGAGTCCACCAATCTTCTATTAGTTTCTCGCATTTGGATATACAGTTCCGCCACACTTCTGGAGTTGCAATTGAAAGTGCTTTTCGCCAAGTTTTCCGAACTGCGTCGTCACTATAACCATTAGGCCCAATATGGTTGTCGTAATATTGTTTTGCTATTCCCCATATATATTCGATGGCATTAAACTGGCAATGATACGGTGGCAGACGTAAAACTTGATGACCGTAACTTTTAATAATATGATCCACAACAAAATGTTTTGGTTTTGCGTGTATATTTGCCAAGAATAATAATTCTGATTTTAAAATATATTGAGGAAATTGTATATGTTCCTTTGTCAACCATTCTTTAATTTTATCAATAGTCCAAGAATTCATTGGACTTTTGTTTAATACTTCAGAATGGTAAGGTGCATTGTATAAAATAATTACGCTGGGCTCACTTAAACCTGGGAGAAGTTTTTCATGCAACCATTATACAAACATTTCTGTGTTCATATTATCGTGTTAGTCACTGGATTTTGGTTTAGATGAAAATATTAAATCAGCACCTTCTATAAAACCTGAGTTCCCTCCTGCATGTAAAATTATGTGTCGCTTCCCTTCTCCATCGGTATGTTTGATGCACTTTACGTTATCATCTTGCCATATTCTCTTGGTTGCACCCCTAGAAAATATCTATGTTTCGTCTAAATATATAAAATTCGCCTCTTCTTTAAATTTAGAATATTTTCTTAAAAAGTTAATTGTCTTGTGCACGACAGAACTTCTTTCACAAAGGGCCTTTCTGTTATCCTCCTTTTAAAATTTGAAATCCAAGTTATGTATCACTTGCCATAGACTTGTTCTGCCAATGTCGTCAAATTTTCTATCTATTAATTCCGAGAGAATTGTATTTAAGGTCACATGTTCCTTGTTGGCGCTCATTCGATAAATGGTATCACGAATTTTAAATTTCTTTCCAGCTGGAATATCTTTCGTTTTCAATGATGGGCGAGTTTTGCGGTGATCTTCTTTCGGCAGTTCACTATTGTGATTTTGTAATACTCCTCTTAAATTGGTTTCACTAGTTTCTAGAGCATCGCCTATGCGTTGTTGTACAGACATTACCAATTTTAAAGGACCACCATTTTCTTGTTCATCTGTAAAATACACTACAAATTAGACTATCTACATCTAACACACGTCTAGGCATTTTTAAAATTTCCACTAAATATACAATATACATACAATGTCAACACTTGCAAAGAATCAATTCAACTGCAATATTTGTAACAAATTTAGTACCTACCCTAATGTTATTTTAATTTAAATCTGCATGACCATTAGGGCAATTTTACCTAATTTCTTGTGACGAGGCTTATTGGAACTGGTTGTCAATGACTAATTTGCATAATTTTGTTAATCCAAAACCCTTGTAAGTATAGCGAACAGACTGTAATATTCCTACATACACTTTTATTTTATATAAACTTTTTAATACAAAACAAAAATATTTTTATGTAATACAATTCAAAACTCTCTTTGTTTTTTAACATTTATGACAACTTTTTCTTACAAATTAGGATCATTCTGGATATTGTCACGAACTTGATTGACCAAGTTTCGGAGTTGGAAAATAATAAAAAATATTTATATAATATAGTTTATTATCAGTCACACATCATTAAATAATTTAACAAAATTTTAGCAGCTCGCTAATTTACAAACAATTGTTTGAAACTTACATATTATATTCAGCTATAAGGGCACGTAAAAATCTCCCAAAAACGTTTATCTATATATCTATACCTATATTATCTTGATTTTGCCAATTTCCCCATATCTAGCCAGCAGTTGGAGTATCTTTCTGAGTCCACTTTTTTCTTTGGAGAGGATTTTGTTGAGTGAAATTTTGCATAATTTGTAAAGAAACATCAAAACGTTCTTAAAAAAAATCACCTTGCGTGGTATTTGGAAAGATTATTTAACAATGTGAACAGAACTTTTATAAACAATATTGGCTTGGTTTTTATAAGATAAATGGTTTCTGTAATTAAAATGCATATTTTAACAATAATAACAATGTTTGTCCATTTTTTTCTCACTTTTTAACAAACTTCACATTGACCTTTCGCATAAATTGATACGTTACTCTGGTAACGAATAAAATTTTTTAAAACCAATCGGGGTTAAGATACAGTTTGTAATGATTGGCGTGTGTTGGAATAAAAGATAACTGTCATTGGTTGGTTGAGATGTTAAATAGTCTGGTAAATCCACTGGTCTTTTTTCATTCTTGCCGATTCTCGATTTTCGTAATTATTAAAGTTACTGTAGTTTATGACCTGACTTTCTTTTTCATGTTTAAATTAAGCAATATAATTTCGTTTATTTAACCAAGTTATTGTTCGTGGGCCACACAAAACGATCTCGCGGGCCGCAAATGTCCCGCAGGCCGCACTTTGGGAACCCCTGCAGACTTATCACAATCTCAAAGTTTATCGGGCCTATATATTTTATTGAACGTTGTTGCATCCGACTAGGAATACTATCTTTCAGTTGAGATATAATTAGAACAATTGCATTGAGTATCATCAGACAAATTAACGAGATTTTCTCATTAGTACGGTGAAACGGATTGGCAAAGTAGACCCTTCCTTCGGAATACGTTTAATCAGCGATAATAAAGAATTGCAAACTCTACATGTACGTAACCAATTCCGGAGGTAGTGTGTGTAGGGCAAAGAGAAAACTAATTTAATTAAACATTTCAAAAACTCTTTCCATTTATAAATAAAAAACTTTTGAACTAA